CTCTCTCTCCCTCTCTTCTTATCGCATATGTATACTCAATTACTGACATATCAGCTGCCGTGCTTTTTTCTTTGTGGTTGATAAGCTGATTTGCCTTCGGTTCGTTTCACTTTGTGGACTGTTTCTGTATAAACTTATCCTTTCTTCATCGAGTTTTGTTATGGTGCTTTTCGTCCCCTTCTGCAATTGTTCTTTCACTCTGGGTTTAGTTCGCTTGTTAACCAAGAGCTAAAGAACTGCTAATCTAATCCCAAGCTATCCTTTAGCTCTGTTACAAATGGGTTTTCTTTTTCATGTTTGATTTTGGTTCAACAACACTTTTGGTCCATGTAATTTCATTAAAATAGGGATTTAGTTCACAAACATCAGTTTGTAATGATTTAGTACTAATACTCTCAAATTTGTTACTACTTAATCTCTAGATTACATTTTAGTATGCCATTTTTAAATTTGTAACCATTTAGTTCATATTGTGAAAAATGTTGTTAAGATTTAATGGAATTTTGATGAATAAATGCATTAGTGACCATGTGTTTATAACTATGAAGACTAAATAGTTACAAAATAAAAAAGTGGTACTAAATTTCAATGAGATTCTTCACATTAGAGACTAGATCTTGGGAGCTAAGTTGGCCTATACTTTGGGACAATTGTTTCATATTAAAGTTGAACTAAATTGGTTCGTTTCCTGGTATAAGATACTGGACATATTTACGTTTTCAAGTCTATGTCAATGGAAAGTTTTGACCTTCCTTTGCCCAAACTGAACAGCTAACTCAAAGCCCGTTGTACTTCAAGTGACATCAAATCTTGATGATGAAAGCTGTAGTACTGGAGATTTAAGTACACCATCAAAACCGCTAAAGGTAAGGATCCTGTTTACTGATGTTTCTTTCTAGCTTTCTTTCATCGTAACAACAGCTCGTTCATGAGAGTAATTCTTGCTTTGATTTACAGCCACAATGTTTCACAGGGCTAGCAACTAGTTTAGTTCACATCAAGTGTATTTCCTTGCATGATGTGCATCTTTTGACAGCTCTAATCACTCACTATTTATAACTAAATATGGTCAATTTAATTTTTGGAATGCTCGTAGTTCATCTTTGAAGCATGCCTTGCGTCACAGCCTTTTAGATTGTTGGATGAGGGTGATCGACAAAAGTATAATACCAATGGAATATGAGAAGGTGCAAGAGCCTTGTAGATCATCAGTTCTTGAAACCAATCAATTAACCGTATTTTCAAGTCTGATATGATCTTCCAGTAATATAAATATAATCTCTGTGTGACAGAATTGAGATGTAAATGTATGGCTCTATTCGTATATAGTCTAGAGTAGATTACTACTATCTTAACTTCCAATTAGTAATATAAAACAACTGTTTTGACCTCAGGGCACTCCAATCTTGATCTCTCGTCGATGGTGCCTCACATGTTTGTGTTCATCTCCAACATTGATAAAGGATTATGGGGGCACAATGGCTGAAGCTATTGCCAATACCATGGATGGAAAACCTGCGTGCAGAAACTGTGGAGGAAGTGGTGCCGTACTTTGTAAGCATGTTTTTTATTTTGTTGGACACAATACCTTTTGTTCATTGGATATAATTTTTTTTTTCTTCTTCTTCCATGGAAGGCCTGTGATTTAAGACTTAGAACTCTTAAGCTCCTTCATGGCCTTCTAACATTTAGCAGTCGAGGAAATAAACCATACAAACGAAGTAAAGAAATTGATATTAACGTTTTTCTGGCATTCTTTATTTGTTTAGTTATGACTGTTGTCTGGTCAGAACTTTTTTCAAGTTTTTCCACATATGAGCGTATTATCGAGTGTTAAAAAGACCGTTTCTCGTTTTTTTATGCTGTTCATTTAAAAGTAATGCTTGGAGTTTGATGAGAATATTGTATCTCGTTATCTATTTGTGCTTCCTATTTTCCCTGAGATGCTTACTGTTCTTCTTTTTAGGTGACATGTGCGGTGGTACAGGGAAATGGAAAGCTCTTAACAGAAAACGGGCGAAAGATGTCTACGAGTTCACAGAATGTCCCAATTGTTATGGTAAATATATATCTCTATCTGCAAATGATGGTGCTCTATTGTCATCAATGAATGCTTGCATATATTTTCATGCTTTCAGTTGGATACAACTTCACCTTTGCTAGAAACTAATGTCCTCTTATCCTGTTGTTATAGCCTTGAGATGCAGAAAAATTGAATGCTTATTGTTATTTTTCTCATCAAGAAAATTAGACTTTAGCTGATGGAGTGTTCACCGTGCTTCTTCTCATACAATCAATCATTTGAGTTGCCGAGATAGTCCACTTGTACCTCAAGTACATCTTGTGCAGATAGCCAATTCTTTTGGAATAACCTTCATTCACTCGGGCAGTAATATAGGGGATTGAGCTATTGTAACGGCCTAAGTCCACCATTAGCATATATCGTCCTCTTTAGGTTTTTCCTTCTAGGGTCCCCTCAATGTTTTAAAACAGTTATGCTAGGGAGAGGTTTTCACACCCTTATAAAGAATGTTTCGTTCTCCTCTCCAACCGATGTGTGATCTCACAATCTACCATGCTAGCACTCGTTCTGCTCTGCAATCGATGTAGGATCTCACAATCCACCTCCCTTCGGGGCATAGCGTCCTCACTGGCACACCGCTCAGTGTCCACTCCGTTCGGGGCTCAGTATCTTCGCTGGCACACCATCCGGTGTCTGGCTCTAATACCATTTGTAACAGCTCAAACCCACCGCTAGCAGATATTATCCTCTTTAGACTTTCCCTTCCGGGCTTTCCTTCAATCTTTTAAACTACATCTACGAGGGAGAGGTTTCTACACCCTTATAAAGAATGCTTCATTCAACCGATATGGGATCTCAGAATCCACTCCTTTCGAGGCCTAGCGTTCTCGCTGGCACTCGTTTCCCTCTCCAATCGATGTGGGATCTCACAACTATCATCCTTAAATCACTTGTATATGCATCTATGCGTTTGTTTGAGACTTGATTAAGTTTTTCTCTCTCTCCCCAATTTGGAACTATCAAGAGGTGTACGTATATAGATATTAAAGATTTCCTTGCACATCCCAGTTTCCTATTTAAAAAAAAGGTTTCCTTGGACATCATCACGTCAATATTCTGCAACTTCTGCTGGATTGGTTTTATACTGACTGCCAAATTGTTGATGTATCTTGGCTGTGAAACCAACATCAACAAGCAGAAACCTGAATCCATATCCCAAATCTGAAGAAAAAACCTTGGTTGATCATTCACTTCGCTGTTCATCAAAAGCAGCCGAACGTTGTAGTCAGCTTACAACTTCGATTTTAACATGCTAACAGTAGAAAGAAAAATCACAGGCTGAAGAATAAATGTGAAAAGAACATTTATAGTTCATGCATTATAAACGTGCAATCTTGAACTACCAATCTAAATTTGATCATTATACTTCGAAATGGTTGTATTGCAACTCTGGGTATTCGAATCTATGATCGTTTTATCTTGTGAGACAGTAAGCTGGCGTCCTGAGATCCGCTTACAGTGACCAAATTCTGGAAATTCTGTTCCTAATTAGGAAATGGGCTTTCTTTGTTGCGTCCATTGCTTGTTTGTGTTATTTCGTTTTCCATCTTCATCTCTCTTATCTTGAGCTGATTTTAAATTTGTTGTGGCAGGTAGAGGAAAACTTGTATGTCCTGTTTGTCTAGGAACTGGTTTACCAAACAACAAAGGTCTTTTACGAAGGCCGGACGCACGAAAATTGCTCGATAAGATGTTCAATGGTCGCTTGTTACCAAATTCTTAAACTTCATGTCTCTATATGTATCGATGATAGATTTATAAGTTACATAATTGCGGCTTTTGTGGCAGAATTCAGTGAGTGTAAAAACAAAGCTCTAAGTTATAGATGGCTATCTTCTTCAATGCTGAATTACAGTGTCTTGAATCGTCACATGCAGAAAATAATGAATCCCTGAAGCCTTCCTTAAAGCTGAAGTAGCGGAATAAAATAAGAAGTAACTTGCTTTGATTTGTGTTTCTAGAGAAAGAAAGTCGCATAAATCCCACAAAATCTTGTGTTTCTAGACGAGAAAGTCCATGAATCCCTGAAAATCTGGTTGGATGTCTTTACATCCGGAAATATTCTGATACCCACTTGTTGTAGCGGAAGTTGAAGCAAGATCGAACGTATTTACATACCTACAAAGAGACATAAAATTTATGTGGTTTGTAGATAAGAAACTCTCCTATATCCACAGATGGTAACCACTCACTATAACCAAAATGTTTAAGTGTATTTCTCGCACGGTTGCACTACAAAGTCTTGACTCCACATCTCAAAACAATACAATGCTAGACAAATCTTTATATAAACATAGCAATACTAATTATCATACCTGAATCAAATACTAAATGTGAAGATACAAATTAAACCCCAAATTTGTATTATGAACTATATATATATATATATTAATGGGCAACAAATTCGTAAAACCGAAACGTTATCCAATTTGTGATCTCTAACATGGGCGGCCACATCCATCACACATGAGATATCTTAACATAAATAATAATAATAATTCAAAAATATATCCTATGACTGTGAAAATAGAATAATAATGAGAAGAAAATTCCAAAGTCTTCTCAGCTCTTCGTTAGGACCACATCAGTTTGGTGCCACGTAATTATTTAATTAATTAATTAATTTTGGTCTCCATTCTGTTCAAAATATAATATAATATAATATAATATAATATATATATATAGTCTCTGTCATTATTTCAACTCAATTTAAGATGATTTTATCATTTTTTATTTTTTATTATTATTTGAAGTAATAATTAATAATATTATTGGTAGACTTTAAAAAGTTGATGATTATATTTAAAATGTGAGTGCAATAGTTTCGTTCATATACTTAAAAGTATAACAAAGACAAACATGTTTGAAGTTTGATATAATTGGTCGTTTGGATCCAATTATAAAACCCGAAACAAAATTAGAAACACAAAAACACAGTATTCTTCAAATTAACACGACCACTCAAAGCTAAGCTAAGCGCTTGCATTATTCGATATTGTTACTTCACGAACCACATTAAGTCACGAACAATATATGATACACTTTGATCTAACTTCTTTTCAGTTCAGCCTTCTGCAATTGGACCTAATTTCCCCGCTGCTACCCGTCAACGGGCTCAGATTTCCCATGTTAATCATGGACTGAGCGAAGGCGCTCGCGAATTGGCTCGGGCTGTTGGCGAAGTTGTTCACAATACTCACAGTTGGAGCCCCACTGGTGGACAACAACACTTGGTCACTTCCTAGAAGCCCACGGTTGTTCTGAAGATTCGTGAAGTAGTTGTTGTCGAACGTATCGGGCGTTGTCGGGTCCAGGTTCACGAATGTGTCACGCCCCGGCTGACAGCTTTGTCGTAGCTGGTCGGCGTATGTCGAGTCCAGGGTTGGGTCTGGGTTGGATGTGTTCAGCCGTCCGTCGAAGAATCTGCACCTTGAGCGCCCGAACGTGTGTGCGCCTGATAAAGCTACGAGGTCTGTTGTGTCGTCTAGCCCCACGTCCCTGAACTTCTTTTGAAGTGCTGTGAGATCCTCAAACGGACTTGGAAGCCTATTTCTAGCTCCATCCAAATTCGCTGTTCTACTATCCCTTCTCCCCAATGGGACCGTCCACCCCTGCCCGCTCGCCTGCAAACACGACCACGACTCTCCATAATGATATGATATTGTTCACTTTCAACATAAGCTCTCGTAGGCTTGATTATAAACTCATGACCATTCCATAAATTAGTCAACGTGGGACTTTCATCATCCAACAGTATTCACTAATTTAATATTGCGAGTAATATAAAATTATTTACGTACCAAAGTGACAGCAAATAGAGAACCAAGCGCTAGAATATCAGCACAGGAGACAACACCAGGACAAACATTCTCAACTGCGGTTTTAATGTCGTTGACAATATTGAAACCTGTGATGCCTCCGTTTCCTGGAGCACCGAGCTCGCTCACTATGCCTGTTTGATCCTCTAGTAGAACAGACCCATCACATCCCTACAAATTTTACATCATCAGTCACAAACTAATTAAACTAAACTAACGTTTAAAGTGGATAATATTATATGAATATGGAGAGTTTCAATACGATACTTACATCTACAAAACAGTCGTGAAAGTGAAGACGGATGAGTTTAGCACCAGCACGATCGTCAGTTTGGAGAGCTTGCTGCACGACGCCTTGCACAATGCTAGACACATTGGGGCAAGTAGTGTCGTAGAAGGTGGAGGTGAGCTGAGAAGTAACGGACCCAACCAAGAAACACACACAAAGGGCCAAAGGAATCATAGCTTTGAAAGAAGGCATTGGGTTATAGTATAATGAGCTTAAGCAAATGGCATATGGTTTTATAGGCAGCGTTTGACTTTTCAAAGAAGGCAGCGTTTGACTTTTCAAAGGCCAAATCCAATACAAAATTAGAGAGGTTTTAATATTGTAATTGGTTTGAATTCGTATTAATAGCATAATCAAAAGCGTAAGAGTTTGGGGAAACACTAATTAAACACATTATCTGTTCTAATTAATCAAATATATTTATATTATAATCACACTAATTCAACACTTAATTTCCACACTAATTTTACGAAGGCTGGGTAATTAATTAATTTATTATTTATTTATTTATTTTTAAAATTAAAAATTTAAATTATATAAATAAATAAATAATACAATAATTGATCACAAAGGATAGCGTCTGTTTGTGTCTTTTTTGGGGGTTTTATTATTATTTAATTAAAAAAAAAAAAAGATTCCAAACCGCTAATTTGGACTATGAAATTAGAATTTGCATTCTCTAGAATGCTCAATCCACGTGATTGGTGGGGATATACAGCTAAACTCTATGGGACCCCTTTTTTTTTTTTTTTTTTTTTTTGTCCTCTCTCGATCGTCCAAGCTTCCATTTATGTTTATTCAGTCCAATCGGCTAATTAAGGAATTGATTATGGAGTTATAAGTAAGAAATACATCTCCATTGACATGAAACCTTTTACAAAAATCAAAATAAAGCTACTACAACTTATGCTTAAAGTAGAAAATATCATACTATTGTGGAGGGTCTGTGATTCTTAATATGGTATCAGAGTCATGCTCTTAACTTAGTCATGTAAAAAAAAAAATTCAAGTGTAGAACGAAGGGTGTACTTTGTTCGGGTGGAGGATATCCTTAGTTAATTATAGGGAAGAAATATATCTTTGTCTTATTAAGAGAACAAATACACAATTTTTCTTCTACTTTGTCATGTTTTGTTGTTTTGGGAAGATGTCAATTACACTGAAACGAAAATGAAAGTGACAATACCTAAAAGTTTGATTTTTCAAAAAAAATTTAGAAACAAATTATTCAAATCCGATTCGATACAACTTGAGTCCGAGTTTCTAAGAAAATTTCTTCTAAAAAATCACTTTAATTATATTAATAATCCATTTAGACTCTTAATTTAAAATTATTCAAGTAGATTTTTTTAAATTTTAAATTCTCTTCTAAATTGATATTGATATAGTAACGAAAGTAGCCTAGGGTTTGATAAGGGAGGGATGTTACAAAGATGTAGTTTAAGTTTTAAATCTTACCAATTAAAGATAAACTTTTTAACCTAAATTAATGTAAATAAATTAAGACAACCTCAGAGGATGTCTGTGAAGACATGTTTCCGTCAATTAGCTAGGTTTAACACCACTTGGCTGCTGTAAAGCTAAGTGTTTGACCATTTACATCACTAATTTTCTCCAATTTCATTCACTAAAACGTCCCTCTCGGTTGAGAAATTCTACGTCTTGAGCTGTAGAACGGTGAGGACAAGGTTGCTACTTTTACGATATTATCATAAACTTTTATAGACGTTGGTTTTTTTTCAAAATGTCTAATATCCATTATTTAGATAATGTGAGACTCTCTAATCGTGTTAAGTATAAAGACAGTACTTTTATTACACATTTAGTTTACACGTACATGGAACGAGTATATGTCTCATCCCCACTCTTTTTCAGCTGATTGCATTAAATTTAAACACCACATTGTTTTGAATATTTATATATATATATATATATAAAGGGACGTTTTTGTTGGTTTAGTTGAGTCTTCTGCAATTGGATCTAATTTCTCCCTTATTTCCAGTTAATGGCTTGATATTTCCCATGTTGATCATGGATTGACCGAAGCTGTTGAAGAACTGCTGTTGGCTGCGGGCGAACATGTTGACGATGCCCACGGTGTCCGAGCCGGGGGTGGAGAACAGGACCTGGTCGCTGCCCAGAAGCCCGAACCTGGATTGAAGATTTGTGAAGTAGTTTTTGTCGAAGGCGTCGGGAGTGGTGGGGTCCAGGTTCACGAAAGTGTCTCTGCCTCTCGCACATGCTCGGCGGAGCTGGGCTGCGTATGAGGCGTCCAGGGTGCTGTCTGGGTTTGAAACGTTCAATCTTCGGTCGAAAAATTGGCATCTTGAGCGCCCGAATGTGTGGGCACCTACCACCATTTTCACACAAATTAGATATTATTATTTTATGGGTCACTGTGGCCCACATGAGACACAAGATTATATCACTTTCCTCGTGTCATTTTTTAGGGTAAAAATAAAAATATGCTTTTTCAATCATTTTAAAACATAATATCTAGAAATCATCCCTTCTCTTATTTCTAATACATCAAAAGATATATATAAACAAAACTATCATGTACGAATGTACGAAGTTAAGAATTGTTGGGAGGGAATCTCACGTTACTTCGTTAAGAAAAAAAATCATGGATTTATAAGTAAGGAGTTCATCTCCATGTGGACGAGGGTTTTTTTTTAGAAACTTAAAGTGGACAATATCATATTATTGTGAGCCTCAAAAGTATAGTCAAAAGTGACTGAAGTGTCGAATAACAAGTATATTTTGTTCAAGAGTCGAGCCTTGATTAAGAAGGTTTATAGGAAAGGAACACATCTTCATTGATACGAGGCTTTCTAAGAAAACTAAAAGTAAAATCATGAGAGCTTATATTCAAAATGGACAATACCATACCACTGTAGAGGTCCGTGATTTATAAAACACAGTCGATAAGTCATGATGAGAACGAAATGAACTCACCAGATAAAGCAACAAGATCAGTAGAATCAAGACCCACTCTACAGAACTTGTCTTTAAGTTGGCTTACATTCTCAAAGGGACTTGGTAGGCCATCGATCGCACCTTGTAAGTTGGCTGTTCGGCTATCTCTTCTTCCCAATTGAACCTCCCAATAGGGCCCTCCTGACTGTGTATAAATAAACACAACCATTTCATTAATCCACTCCCAACACTAAATAAAATTTACCATGATTTACTTTAGTTACCAAGTACACAGATTCTACGGAAGCTATGGCTAGGATATCAGCACAAGAAACGATGCCAGGACAAGCCTTTTCGAGCGCAGCTTTGATGTTATCAACTATGTTAAACCCCGTGATATTGTCGTTTCCACGAGCACCAAGCTCACTCACTATGCCTGATTGGTTCACTAGTAAAACCGACCCATCGCACCCCTGAAAATTTACGAATCTTCTAAGATGATAACTTTTCAAAAAAACATAAAAAAATATAGTGAAATCAAAATTTACATCAACGAAACAGTCATGGAAGTGAAGGCGAATGAGTCTAGCGCCTGCTCGGGCGTCAGTCGCTAAAGCTTTTTGTACGACAGCTCGCACAATTTTAAACACGTTGGGGCATGATTTGGCGTAGAAAGTGGGAGATAGCTGAGCTTTAGAAGCTCCGAGCATCAACCCCACCAACAAAAAGATAGCAATAGGTTTAAAGGAAGCCATTTCTTTTGGTACAATTTGGGTGAGGTGAGGTATTATGCAAAAAGGCACAACCTTTTATAGATCAAAGAAGGTTATGAATATGACAAGGTGGTGGTGGCTAAATGACCGACGAGGGTTTACGTGCTAGGGCCGATGAACGTTTGGAAAGGAGAGAAGGGAATTAAATTTTTGATATTGATGCCTTATGGTAATGTGTTTCTTGTGTTTCGGTTCTATGGATAATTTTGACTAGAACTTAAATTGATACGTGTTAGGCACCACCACTACTGTCTACAGTGGTATGATATTGTCTACTTTGAGCATAAGCTCCCATGGTTTTGCTTTTAATTTTCCCAAAAGACTTTATGCGAGTTGAGATGTATTTCTTACTTATAAATTCATGATTGATCAACCTAATTAGTCGATGGGGGACTCTTCTCCGAACGATCCTCAACAATGTATATCTCATTCTTTAACATCCGATCCGATTGAAAACATTATGCAATTGGGTAGTTGGGAGAAAGATTTAAGATGAGAGATTTTGGATTTGGAAGAAGTTAATAGAGAAGGGGATATGTCCTTAGGGGAAAAAATAAAGAAATTGAAAGATAATGGTGTTTATAATTGAGAAGAGGGCTCCATTGTCCAAAAAAGTCAACAAATTTATGATTGATTACGTTGCATGTTTACAACAGATCGATATTATGAATAAAACTGTTCTAAAAGATGATGTTTTTGTCCTAATTAGCAGACTTTGACTCGATTCAAAGTTAGGAACGTTTCTAAACTTAACAATAATTCCTTTGAGAACACAAACATTTTAGTTTTGACTCTAAATCGTAAATTTATTGGCTAAAATTTTACATTCTAGATGTGTTTTTGTTCTTGTCGTAGTCAAAATTCATTTGACCTTCACGTAACAACAACAGTACAATTTGTTTAAAATGAAAAGAACAAAAGACAAGTAGTATGACAAACGCTTTTGAAATTATAAAAAGTTTTGGATTTCGTCGTTCTTCCAATAGAAGAATAGTGTTGGTATACCTATCGGTTACAGTTTCATTGATACTTTTTAGGGTTTCGAAATTGAACGAGAGTTTTACTTGAAAACATACCGAGTTGATGTTTATTTGGAGGAAGCAAAATATATCTTTGGGTGTAGGGTTTAAAAAGCTTGTCACCTCGTATGCATCATGTCACCTTACCATTAGCCGATTAAATATATGTTTGGAGGTTCCGGGAAGGTGGGTTTGGGTCAGAGCAGGAGGCTAAGCGGCTGCATGCTTGCTGTTGTTGTTGTTGTTGTTTTAGTTTGTGTGTGAATACGAAGAAGAGATTATAGTATAATAATATGTAAAATGGATGGCATCCATAATGGTTGGTCGGATTCATGATGGATCTATCCAATCCCTTCTTAAATGCCTTCAAAATATGGTATCCATCACTATCTCTCTTTCTCTTTCTCTTGTCTCTGCGTCTTACCACTAACACACACTTCGGCTTTGGGCTATACACATAGCATCTAAACCCTGGGCTTCTAAATTCAGGCCTAAACCCCTCAACTTATGGT